CTTGTGTGTTTTTTTTTGTTAAGTATCATTTCATACATCAGACTTCAATGGCTTGTACACTGATATTGGGGGAATATGGAGCTCAGAATTAAGGAGAAAAAAAACATCTCTGTATTCAGATGCCCGAAAGGAGCAAAAATATGCAATTTGGTGCAGTTGCTGATATTTATATGGCTGAAAAGTAAGCTGAAATTCTGATATCTTGTAAATTAATGAGATCTTTATAACAGTATAACAGACTATTTGCATAAAATACATATACATATCAGTTGTCACTCTATATCTCCCAATAATACTGTATGTATTTATTTATTTATTATATAAGATGGTATTTAAATGCTTAGTTTTATGATTAAATCTAAAGTTTTAATAGTGGGGGCAAAACATGCAATGCAGTGTAGGACAATGATGAGAGATTAACAAATAAATGTTCCATAAAAGCCTATATGATATTGAAATATTACTAACAATATTATCGTTATATTTTATAAAAATCAGTCAAAATTAAAAATAAAAAAAGACTTGTGAACCAAGACCTGAAGGTGGACATTTTTACAATTATATTAAAAGTCTTTTACTTGCTAAAAAAAATATAAACTATCAATCAGGGGACAGAAGGCAGGAATGTTTTGATCCTTAGAAATGTGAGGCGTTATAGGGTTAACACAACAAAAATATTTTAGTCCTTATGCTTGTCATCTATATTCAATGTTTTTTTGTTTTTTATGTATTCTTATTTTAATTTGCATTTTGGTCATTTTGTCTACAATTAAGAGAAACATTAGAACCAGTGGTGCCATTTTTTTTTAGACCACACTACATTTGTACAGTTTCTAACACAAAGCTTTCTTATACTGTAGCTTCAGAGGACCTGGAATACATTGCACTGGTTGCATGGGACTACTTTTATGGTGCTTTTTTTGTGCTTTTCATTTCTGGGTGAACTATTCTTTTAATATCTGTGCTCTAAAGTCTGCTTTTCTTTAGGAATAAAAGAAAACTCTTTGCCATCGCAGTGTGAAATAGTAATATCACCCAGTGCAGCACAATACAGCCTTATGTCTCAAATTGATCTCAGAGGTTTAATTTTGCACAGTTCATCCTGTGGATCTTCCACAGCAGTTGCATCACTTCTTCCACATCTCTGACTTGACCATTTCAGCTTTCAGTTTGTCTTAATAGAATGTATTATACATGTTCTGTAGCTGGATCACATGAGAGATTCGTATCAAAATTAAAAACAGGCAAGTGTACTTCTCTTTCTCTGAACATTTCTACCTTAATCACAGCCCGTCTAAATCTAGCTCGCAAAATCTGAATGTATCTTAGAAAATTGGACTAAATTATTTAACATGATTTATTATTTAACATTATAACTTATAGCCCTCAGTTATAAGAATACTACAGTATTGGTTTTATCATTTAATGCTTTTAAATCTGATGTTATTCAGGTAAATTATATTTGTGTATGTGTGTGTATATAATAATTTAAATGACATCAGGTTTAAAAGCATTGTGTTCAGTGTTCATAAAACAGATATTACATATATTAAGTATTTTATTGTTATATAAAAGTAAAACTTTTTTTTTCTTTGTGGCATAACTTTTCAGCCGTTTTTTTAAGCAAAGCAGTTTAGAGAAAATCAATATTTATTGCAACATATGTCAGTCTTGACCTTCCTCAAGCAGACTAATGTTTTCTCTCTCTTTTTTTTTTTTTAAATCTAGTTTGTTTTGCATTTTTACATTGCAAACTATTTATAACTTTCTGACCTTTGTGTATCTGTGTAGGCTGGTGAAGCAATGCTTCATCCAGCAGTTACTGCAATATTTGTACTTTTAAATACAAATTTAATACTGATATATCTTTGGGTGTTATTTGTATGTAGGGGAACCTGTGATTTTCTTGAAAACTTTATAGAATAAAATGTTTTCGGGGCTGTAACTGTGAAAATGTAAATCTTTGTTTTTATAAAAAAATTATGCATGTTATTTTTATGTAATCATAATACATAATATGTATATAGGGCCTAAAATTAACACTCGGCTTTGGCGAGTATATGAAACTGTGTCAGTCGCCAAATGGCCGGTAACGTTTTTCTAAATTCTAACAGTGCAATGTTGTGAGAGCATAAACGTGAACAACGCTCTGTACAGTTGACGGGTCAGTGCTGCTTCATCACAAAAGTGTAAGCCTTTGCAATATAAATATTCAAGAGCTAGAACACATGAAAGGAGACATGTTATACTCGCGCTGAGTGAGAAGTTTAAACATCCGAAGCCCCGGCCTGAAAGAGCTCTGCTTCCTTCCTGCGCTTGAACAGATAAATTCACACAAAATTGTCAAAAATGCCCGTCTTTGTGAGTATCCTAGTAAAGTAGTTGTTTCTTAAGTGAACATGAACAGCTGAAAAAGAAACCGAACACGAACCGCGCACGACGCAATGTGTCAAGACAATAGAACCCATTATAATCAGTGATATTGTCTGCACTGGATGCGGCGCGACATGACAAATCCCCGAAATTAAGCGGATTCCCCGTTCTATTTCTGAAATAGTCCAAGAAGATGCACTTTGTCGCATCTTCAAGCTGCTGCGGTGTAGACATGGTGTTAAATTGATAGACACAGAATTCCAATAATCCTGCTGTTGATCAAAGAAAATTGGACAAAGAAAAAAACAATCACTCACTGCTCTTGAACTTTAAAAAAGATATAAAGACTATAGTGTTATTCTCTGTGAGTATCCTAGTAAAGTAGTTGTTTCTTAAGTGAACATGAACAGCTGAAAAAGAAACCGAACACGAACCGCGCACGACGCAATGTGTCAAGACAATAGAACCCATTATAATCAGTGATATTGTCTGCACTGGATGCAGCGCGACATGACAAATCCCCGAAATTAAGCGGATTCCCCGTTCTATTTCTGAAATAGTCCAAGAAGATGCGCTTTGTCGCATCTTCAAGCTGCTGCGGTGTAGACATGGTGTTAAATTGATAGACACAGAATTCCAATAATCCTGCTGTTGATCAAAGAAAAAAACAATCACTCACTGCTCTTGAACTTTAAAAAAGATATAAAGACTATAGTGTTATTTGTTTAGCATAATTTATTACATTTCTGTAGGCTACCTGAAAATCACTGTTAGACCTGCCTGAAATGCACCGTTTCTATTTGTATCTTTTTTGTATAGTAGGCTATGTTGTGCTATTGCTTGTAATTTGATTTGCTCTTATTTTACAACTGACTATTTGCTAGTCTTTAAAAATGTAGATAGCATAGAAATATAATGCTGATATAAAATGCTGACAATCAGTTAGTGCTAATCTACAAGTAATATAACAAATTTACCACACTTTATGGACTAATAATGTGTTTGTGTAATGTCATGGTGAAAAAAATATGATATGATAGCTAAGGACACAATTGCGTGAACATGTATACTGTATATAATGTTGGACAAATTTTATATTTTTATAGTGAGTATAATTGAATTCTGAATTATTTTCCAAGCCAGAAATTGCCGTTTTTGTGTTTATAAAATAACTATTAATTTTCCAGTAATCACAAACTGATTTGTTGGTCAGAAACTGTGGAAAACCAGAATTATTATGCTTTTGTGTTATCCATTCAGACAGTTGTTGCAATTTTACACACCGAAAGGATCTGGAGATAATTGAAATGATAGTATTTTGGAGAACTGGCTTAAGCATGTTGAGCATGGTTCTATTCATAGAAAGTTGAGTTGTGGCTGTGATGAGCTGGATTTGGCACCTGTGAGGTTTCCTCCAAATTGCATTAGCTGTCCGCTCCCAATTCTATCACTGCATGTTTGTAGCGCGGTCTCTGCAAACTAAAACAATGTCATTAAGCTTCAACTTCAAATTAAGCCTCTTCAAGACTGTTCCAAACACCACAGTCATTTTCCAGCAGCGCAGCAAACCGCAGGACGCACATTCATCAGCGGCTTTAATGCTTGGCTGAAATGTTATTTATTAGCAGGTGCAGGTCAAACTTCCCCACGAACGAGAGACCGACTGTGCTGCTCGTATGTCAGCATGAACCTTACAAAAATGCTTGATGTGTGTGTGTATTTGAGGATTATATGTGATTCATTCATTACCTCACTTCCAGATGCCTCCTTTAGAGCCAGATCTTACTTACAAAAATTACTCATTCAAGTGTTAAGTGCTTTTCCCTCCAAAAAAAAAAGGAAACCCATTATGTTAGTGGCATTATTCCTGCCATTAACAAATCAAATACTAATAAGCAGCACTGAGCTAAGGATATTACTTCTGCATTGGCAAATCTTGCAATGTTTCAAATGTAATCATACCTTTGAACAGTATGCTTCCTTTGTAAGCAGTAGTTAATCCAAAAAATCAAAATGCTCATTATTTACTCATCCTCATGTCATTCCAAACTCATGGAGCGCAACAGGTGACATTCTAAAGACCTGACGTGGTTTTCCATACAGTTACAATGAAGTTTTCAAGCAAATACAGAGACAAAAGCACTATCAAAATTGATAGTCTTCTGTAGCTTTGTGTAGAAACAGATTAAAAATTAAGTTGTTTTCCACTGATCATTTTGTTGTTAACTGCTGCGAGGGGTGGAATCAGTGAGTTGAACTGAAGAACCAGATCAGTCCAATTCAAATGAATCACTAGTTTTATGAACCTAATCAAATGATTCATTGAAAAAATTCAAACAATTCTTTCATGAACTTCTCTTATGAACTCATTTGAGTCTTTTCCTCACACAAAGCTGTGATATGACTTCAGATGACTAGAAATAAGCTCACGAGTCATATAAACTACCTTCATGATGATTTTGTGTTGTTTTTGAGGTTTGAAAGCTTCACTCCATGTTTATTGAAATTGCATGGAAAAGAGCTTTAATTTCCGCTACACAGGTTTGGAATGACATTAACTTGAGTAAATGATGGCAGAAATGTCTTTTTTTGAGACAGAATTAATTATGTCTAATCATGTCTTTCAGGCTCTGTTGGAGAAGGTGGTTGTGAAAAGTGACGGCTTTAGTGTGGATCTTCTGGAGAGAGTTTACTCAGTGCTCAGCCAGTGTATTTACCAGCACCGCAGAGACTACGACAAGACCCGTCTGATAGAGGTTGACACACACACACACACACACACACACACACACAGAAACACAGATCAATATGATGTTCAAGTCAGAAGTTGTCAGAGAGAGCTTTATTGCAAAGAATTTGTTTTGATGGCAGCAGCTTCCAGTACACAGAAACAACACCACCACACAGATAATAAAAAATAAAGATACACGTGTGTGTGTGTGTGTGTGTGTGTGTGTGTGTGTGTGTGTGTGTGTATATATATATGGTTTTGTGTGGTAATTGTACCACATGTTAGCAGGCAAACCACTTTCACTAGATAATTTATTAACATTATTTATTTGATTTTGATATGCAAGCTCAGACCACATTAAATTTTAATTTATTTTGTGTGCTAATGTGAAACATAAATACATCTATTTGATTTTTATTTTATTTTTCAATATTTCTATTGTATGTTTGAATTTATGGGCATTTCTGTTGACTTTTGTGCTATAATTTTATTTATTTTATGCTGTGTGCTTTTTTCAAACTTATAAATACATCTGTTTTATTTATTTGATTTGAGATACAAGCCCATACCTTATTTTGTTTTATTTTATTTTATAATATTTTATGTGCTGATGTAAAACTTAAAAAATCATACATTTTATTTTATTATTATTATTTATTTATATATATATTTCTTCAGCATGCTCGATTTTCTGTGCATTTTTGTTGAATCTCTTATCTTATCTTATCTTAGCCTAAACTGAAGCAAAACCAGTTATAAACTATGGATTAGACTATAAAAATTCTTAAACATGTTTTAGTACTTCTGTATTTCTTTTTCCATTTATTTGTTGTAATAATTGCTGAGCGAGTGGAATACTGAATTAAAATGATCCCTCTATTAACTAGTAGCTCTATACTGACTAATGACTCGTAATGTTCAGTTCAGTCATGTGTCGTTTGTGTGACAGCAGCTCAGAGGAGATGGATACACAGTGACTGAACATGGCACACTGAACAACTGCTGTGTGTTTAAATTACGCCGGCGCACCGATGGTGGAGAGCTCTCGCATGGCCTCGTGGGAAATTATGTGCGCTGTTCTCAAATACAATAGTAATGGTAGCTGCCCAGCAGAAACAGATTAGAATTGCTCCAAGGAATTGTGGCCGGCGCGACTAAAGGCTAATTTGCATGTTGTGTACCAATTCCTCTTTGAGAGGACCCTAATGGAGTCGTATTTATTAATTCCAGTATGATTCGCAATCGAGACCATCTGGAAAAGCTGTATGTGCTTAGATTTTAATTCGCTGGTCTCCGTCAGATTGTAGGATCTTTTGCAGCCGGTGGACTGGAGCGGAGATCCGCAGAGGATCTGCAGAGGATAGCGGAAATTGGACATTATTTTGTTAATTGTTCACATATTGTACTGTGCCATAAGAGTTTAATTGTTAGCTGCACTTTGACCTGAATAAGAATGACAATGTCAAATAAAAAGTCCAGAGTCCTAACTAGACGCAATGTGACAGTCGATTACATGGTTATTGTTTTTGTAATGTTACACTGGGTTGTTCCGCCCACAGTGGAATCTCATTGGTCTAAAATTCCACTTTACATAGCTGTTAAAGGGATAGTTCACCCAAAAATTAAACTTCTGTCATTATTCACTCACCCTAATATCGATCAAAACTGGTTTCTTGAAAGTCATAAAAGCACAAAAGGAGAAATATCTATAAGAGGATGTTCTCACTGCACTTTTTCATACAATAAAAGACTCTACAGCTGTCAAGCAAGGTTAGATTTTTAATTAATTGTATCAACACCAAGCTAGCTTTATATAAACAAATTATATGGCGTACATTTATGGTGCTTTTTTTGTCCTAAGCAACTCTTGGTCACCATCCCCTTTATTGTTTGGAAGAGAGCAGCTCGGACACTCTGCTAAATGTCTCCTTTTGTGTTCAATGGAAGAAAAAAGTCAAGCAATTTTTGAAAAACATGAGGGTGAATAAATGTCAATGTACATTTTGGGGTGAACTGTCCATTTAAATACCAATTATTTTTGGATTTTGTCACTGTGTGGAAGAAAATTTTTTTATGTTTTTTTTATTTTTATTTTTATTATTTTATGTTGGAAACATGTCACATCATTAGGACATGGAGTAAAAATAGACCAGAAACTTCTTTCCAACCCAAACTCTGATAGCTGATCACCTTTGAGTTAGTCCCTTTTTACATGAAATGACTTTGTCCTCTGTCCTACATTTGACTGCTTCATGTTCTGCCATGATGGTTGAATTATTCATGATTTTACTGCTGGCATTTTGATAGCGAGATTATTACAAAGTAATTACATATATAAATGTATATATTAGGGATGCACGATACTGAATTTTTGCCGATATGCCGATAATTTTCAACTAATTTTGACCGATATGTTTGAATTTTGGTTCGTTTTTAACAAGAACTTATTTGTTAGAATTAAATAAACAATAATGAAGTTAATTTATAATTGCAGTGCACTGAATATTTGAAAATAACTATAAATGAACTATATATCACTGCATTTTTTTTTCAGAAAGATGCAGTGGTAACGTTAACATTTTATTTTATGATTTAACATTTATAAATGGTCTAAATCAAAAGAGTTGTAAAAATTCTGAAAATCTTTTAGAACTCATAATTTGTTTAAAAATATATAACATATTACACATTAATGAATAAATCAGTATAAAATTATTTATATTAAGCGTCATGTTTGTGGGGTTTTTTTTTGTACATGTAAGCTATAGCTTCTGACCTTTAAATCAAAACATACTCATGATTTTATGGCATCAATTACTGCTTTATTTAATCAGAATCAGTCTTAATATTATTTGTGTATTTTGCTTTCATTTTATTAGAAGTAGGCCAACAGCGCTCCTTACGGAATTAAAACTCCTTACTTAAGCAGGCTTTAGGACCTGGGGGAGGCCGTCACTGCTGCCACTGCACGTGCTATTACTGTTTACTCTATCATACACCGAACGCGTCATTCTTTGTGCTTTCTCAGTTTAAATTCAGCGATCCAAAACAGTGAATCTAATCACCATTCAGGCAAAACTTTGATTCATGAATGAGCCACACTGCTGACGTGATCTAATTGCTAGCACACTCTGAGCGCATGTGAGTTAATGTATTCCTCTTATCGGCAAGACATATCGGCATAATTTTGCATATCGGGCCGATGCCGATATTTATATTTAAAGCCGTTATCGGCCGATTCCGATATTGGTCCGATAATCTCGTGCATCCCTAATACACACACACACACACACACACATATATATATAATATATATATGTATATTTACATATGTACGTACATTTTTAATATAATAAATAAATATATATATATATATATATATTTTTTTTTTTTTTTCTATAAATATTGCAAAAAAAAAAATGTATCAGGGTTTCCACAAAAATATAAAGTTTTCAACATTGATAAGAAATTGAGAATGATTTCTGAAGGATCATGTGACACAAGTGCAGCCTTGGTGATCATAAGAGACTTTTCAAAAACATTACAAAATCTTACTGGCCACAAACTTTTGAACTGTAGTGTATAGAAAATGTAAGATTTTTTATATTTAAGCTGATACTTAAAATGAAATCCAATCTAATCCAAATAATGGCCTTCAAAGCTTTGTTTGAAGTTCTTCTGGGTTTCATTTGCAAAACACATCCAATAAAATGGTGTATAAAGACAGGTGTATAAAATAACCATGTGATAATGTTTGATTGGGTCCACTTTTAACAAAATATGCAATTAACAATGTGGTTTTCTGTCTTTTGATTTGCAGGCGATGGAGAAGTTGAACATTTCGAAACATTCCTGTAATGAATAGAGGGCTTTCAGAGAGAAACGTGATCGGAGAGTCTTTTGATACAAGAGGGAGAGGCCAGCGTTCTGAGCCAAGTCCTTAACGCAGAGCAGGTCTGGACGCCTCGGTCTCAAATAACAGCAGGAAGGGGAAAAAAGGTGCAGACATTAGAAACAAAGACTTACAGAGGCGACCTTGGTGCTATCATCTCAGGTACCTGAAACAGAACCAAACACAAAAACTCCTGGAGGTTTCCTTTTTAATCGTTTCGTTTTTGTACTTGCTTACATGCCAATTGATCGTTCTTGGTGCTATTGGGTGCTATTGTTTTATCTTTTTTTTTTCGTCTGCTGCTCCTTGTTCTCATAAATAAGCAAACAAAACACAAACAAACTACATAATAAAAGATTGTGTGATGTCACAAAGCAACCTCAGCCTCCGTCTACTGGAAGCAAACACCCACACACATAAACAGATTCTCACCAGCAGTGGCAAACTGTATATGGATGGTGTGATGCCCTACAGCTCGAGTCAGCTGGTCGTTTACTGTGGAAATAAACTACATCGCCCTCTTTCTACATCCACCCTGATGTCACACCTTGTCACCACTGGGATTATCAACACTTTTTAGCCACATAGAGATACTCTTGTTGGGAAAAAAAAACAACACATTTTGTAGGGACGTCTAGAGTTGTTTTCTACTGGATGTTAATTGTAAGATTTGCAAGGATTCTGTATTGTAAACCAACTTTTTCTTGTGACAAATGAGACTGTGTTCTCTTATTTAGACTATACTATTTGTAGAAACCAACAAAACTAAGCGGACAGATTTTGATTAAAATAGATCTTTTGGAGAGAAATTGTATTATTTTAGACCCATCGCATATTTCCCCCCTTGGAATAGTTCATGGGCTTTTTTAACTTTAATTTTTGGGCTTTTTTTCTGGTTTAACTGGATTTACGAGTAGATATCTGGAGATTGCACTGCCTAGCATGTGCCTTAACCTTTGAGATAGGCTGAAAAACATAGCTGAATATTGACTATCGATGTTTATGGACAAGCCGCAGGGCTACAAACCAATAAAAATGTGGGGTATGTTGTGCTTAATTGTTTGCCAATCTCTTCTCAAGTCACCAAGCAACATCTGCATGGTTTGAGAGTCACGTTGCTCTGTCATACATTGTGGCTTTCTTTTGCCATCCATTTGTATCGTAACATCACATATTGGAGTAAAAATAACAGTGATGTTTTGGTATGCAAGCGTTGAAGTTAAAATGGCAGTCTAGGCAGTGCTGAATTTTTGAACATAAAGCATTACTGTATTTTTGTTGTATTTTTTTTATTTTCTGTGTGACCTTTCCATTGTGTTAACTTGTGCGGTCTAATATTAGCTGTCGCATTAATAACTTGATTTCCATCAATTTTGGCATTGTGTAAGTAGCATTAACTGAGTTCTCCCTCTCAACTTTTGTTAACTCTCAGCTTTATAAAGAACGTTGATCCAAGTTCAAGAGTCCTCGTGACCTTGTCTAGGATTCGGTGCTATAAAAACAGAAAAAAAGGAAAATAACACTTTTTAAGACATATGCAAAAGAAAGGAAAAACAAACAAACTAGCTGTTAGCTTTGGACTACTGCAGTGCGTGTGAGAGACAGAACCACAGCTACCTCAGCAAGTTGTTTTCATGCGAAGAGACAAAAGTAATGACCTGTTTACTGACAAACAGTATTTGTTGACCTCTGTAATATCACTGCGCCCTTTAGAAATTCAAGCTAAGGTACTGGATCACCTCTCCGACATGAGTGCGTCATGTGGCTGCTGCAGTAATCCTCTGCTTTGTTAGCATTTTTGCATTATATTTAGTTTTTTGGGTTGTTCTGCATTTGAGCCGAGAAAAGAAATGGCATTGTAATATAGCTGAAATGTTATTTACTGTATAGTTCGGTTTTTCTACGTGCATCCCATGATTTACATTTTATTGGCCATGTTTGTGTTTCTTCAGTCCATGTCATGATCGTTTCTGAATTCACGGTCGCATTTTCCTTCATGCTATTGCCTGTCCATTTGATATTTATACAATTATAAAAACGTCGTCATATGTTCAACATTTTGTTCAACCGAAACTAATTGGGAAAAGTTGTTACATGAAATTTGTGCCGAGACACAATGTAGCACATTTTTTGTAGCAGGTGTTGCACGACGTTCAGAAACGGGGTTTACTGGTCTCAGGTCTCTGCTACATTAATATTTATTCCATAAGGGTGGAGATGATGGTGGCTATGATGCTTTTTAATTTTTAAATATTATTGTAGAGGATGAGGGGGAGGTTCATGCGGCTAATGTGCATTTTCGGGTCCCTCTTCGTCACCTGTTGTACCATCAACAACATGCGTAACTGGTGTAGTGTTGTAGAAACTACTGTAATGCTGACCAATTTGTTCTTAAATTTATCTGAGGAAAAATGAGCTTTAGTTGATGCCAGTTCACAAGACATACCCTATTTTGCATGGCTAATTGATAGCAAAATGTAATTGGCCCTGAATCAAACAGTATGTAATGTGGTCGGTGCGTAGCGTGGAAATGAAATTTCACATTTAGAAGCACCATTAATATATTTTTTAGAAAATTAACTCCTAAATCCGGCATTAAAAATATTACAACGTGGACATGAAAGTCGGTATTGTTCTATATGTTTGACTAAAAGTTAAAGTTCATTTCCTTTAGTTGATCAGAATCTAATTCAGATTATTTGACTGATGGTAGGAAGTCCATAGAACAATAGCATTTTGCTTTAAGTAGGTAAATAAGACCCACCCACTAAACTCCTTTGTTTTTGGTGTAATAAGTCCATATGTTTCTCAAGTTGGTGCTCAATGTTGGAGATTTTTTTTAGCAACTGATGGCTTTAGTTTAATCCCCATTTAATCAGTAGATATATTTCCCTTAATGAGTTACAAGTTTGAGGGAATTTTGTTTTTGCATAATACCAGAATTTCTGTCCCTTTTATTTTTACTACTACAAATCAAAACCACACACTGTTCTGTCCTTCCCTGCAGTCCTTTTGTGAAATGATATATTTACTGTAATTTCTGAAATAAACTGCTGTGATATACTTGAATAAAAGGTGCAAATTGAAGTCGTTCTAGTGTTTCAATTTCAATCTGAATCCTGAGTTGTAATAAGGGTTACGGCACATTTTGGATGGTGTGCTGCGTTCATAAATTGGAAAATTTAAATGGCATATAGCGCATGGTTCTGGATGAGTGTAAGATTGACCAATAAAAAAAAAAAGCTAATTTTCACTCACAAATAACTTACATTTGTTGACTTATAAAAGTATTCAGCTTTGCCACTACACCTCTACAGTTGCTCCAAATATTTACTGGCTTCATTTTTTTGTGTGTGTGTGTTATGGAAACTACAGAACTAACTTTAATAAATAGACATTTACTCAGAAAGAAATTGCACTTCATAAGTAAAAATCCTTACAGGTTAGCCAAAAATGACAACTTGGTCATAAGTTGTGAGAACATCATGCAAAAGAGTGAAATGTAAATAAACAGTCAACTTGTTGCTTTGGATATGTAATTCAGCATTAATAATGTAAATTGTTCCGGTAGGATACAGATTTACAGACATTGTCCAATCCATTGTTTTTTCTCTAAAAACATTTATACACAATTTTCATTCGTTTTTAAAATATACATATCTTCCCTATAATACAAAGTTTCTCCTTCCATCTGTATTCTGCCACAGCTGCAGGGTCGTGGATTGGAATAAACCACAAGGATAAAACCCACAAAGAAAAGGTGGAATGATTTACACAGAACAAAATGAAATGAAACTCCTCTGGGCATCACAGGTTCTGGTATTTTTGTGCTTTGGAGTTCAGGAGGGCCTTCATTCAATCCCGGCTCTCTGTAGCGCTGACCCTCGCTGGAGGGCTACATGACTAGCATTGTCGTCCTTTGGCTTCTTGCGGAAGTCCTTTCAAGATGAAACTGATCATGATACACAATCCCATATTCTCATGACTACCAATGAAAAACGAGATTTGATGGGAACCTTATCAAAGAAACATCATGAGGGAGAAAAACATCAACTCAAACATTGGAAGAGGGACCAAAAAAAAATAAATAAATGCATTTGGCTGACCTAGAATACAGTTCCAATGGCACGACACCTGAGGGGGAGCTACGCTATGGATCCCTTGCTAACTGCAACGGTCCGACTGTGTTCCACCCAGGTTGGCTGGTTGGAACTCGATGGGCTGGTTTAGGCCAGTTCGTGACATTAGAGAAGTCCAGAGTCGAGCACATCGTCAGCCGCTCTGAATGTACTTCTTTATAACCACACATCCGTGTCTGAAAAGCGGACACGGCAGATTCTGCAGCAGCGTCCACGTGTTCGTGCAAGGGTCGAAGGTCTCCATGTTGCCCAGCGCCGGTCCCTCACTGCTCACGATCCCTCCCGTTGCATAGATCTTGCCATCTAGGATCGCCGCACTGGGGGAGGAACAAGAGACCATTTGTAATGTGGAACATCGTTTATTGCATCGTGTAGCGCAATCTACTGTTCATTAGACCAACCTGCAGAACTGCCTGGAGTGATTCATGTTGGGGCCGGCTTTGATGTTGCCCTTGTGTGGGTCGTAGATAGTGGTGGCTCGGGCGTAGGCTCCTCCCAGGATGAAGATAAAACCATTGAGGCTCACAGCAGGAGCATACTTGTTATCTAAATAGCCCAAAAGGAGAACAGAAGGAAAGAGAATGACAGATAGAAGTTACTTCTCTGATGTATGTTCTGGCCACAGATGAATTTTTGCCTGGGAATAAAGGCGCGTTATCTTAAACATTGTGCTCCATGCAAGATGTGTGGTGCTTTTTGGAGCTATGAGTAAATTATATAGCTGCTGGAATGCCTACATCCTTATCACAATATTCTTTCGGAAGATTCCAGTGGAACGACGGATTACTGATGTAGATTATGTACTACAGTACTGTATACGACTGTGTCAGTCTGCAATCTTCCGAAATCTGGATAGAAGCACCATTTGTAATGCATTTATGATTTTCCTGCCACATTCCATTTCCCACGTATCCTTTATGCTTTAAGTTTTTAAGCGGAGAATAACAAATACCGGCAAACAGAAATATGGCGCCCGTTTCATCTAATGATTCCATACAGAGGAAATTAACTGTAATATCCGAAGACCCTTCACAACGCGACAGCTTTTACTCACTCTATCCTTCTTCACATGGGGTAAATGGCCAAGAAACAGAAATAATCATATCTTTTCATGAGCAGGCAAATGACTGACAGCCCGACTCACTGTCGTGAACACTGAAAAGGTTGTCGAGCCAAATGCAAGAGAGAGGCTATCAGCCTTCGCTTTCTGACAGAGAAATTGTTTCCCAAACGATTACAGCTGGGCCAATTTATTACACCTATGAATAATTCACGTGGCTGCATTCAAGGTCTTGTTTTTTTCCACACCTTCGACTGACGCTTGAGAAGCCGAGCACAGAAGCGATCTGTAAAACAGCGGCTGGATTTAATGGTTGAAAAGGAAGTACGAGATGGGCTCTCGTTTGGCGGCGTGACTGCCAGGTGCTTCTCAGTAAAACCTCCACCTCTCAACTTTGAGTGACGGTGCAGATAACGCCCTCTTTTTATAGCACTCCAGTCACAGCAAGCGTTGTCGAATTGATCGGCGGCATAACCCAGGGGGACGCGTCGACTTCTGTAACAAGAGCATAGTTTTGGCACCCCCCTCGAACATATCTTTATTCCCCTCACAAAAACGCCTGCTTTTGTGCCGAGTCACTTCATTCAGCCTCCCTGAGTGCTTTGTTTACATCATGAGCGCATGCATCTTGCAAGCGGCTTGAGTTGCCGGCGCCGTAGGATCAGCTCCGTTAAGTCCTAATCTCACCCTACGCAATGCTCTGTTTATCTGTTTGTTGTCTTGTTTTCAAACCCAACGCTGATGCTATCAGCAGAGCTCATTGTTGGGTTTGGCCCACGTTCTTGCTACTCGAGGGCCTCGAGTGTGACGCCAAAGCTCGGTCTGCTTCTTTGATGCTGAAATCCTGCCACCGGCAAGACGTCTCAAGGTTTCGATCAAATGGGGGACCTGTATCTGGCACAATGGAGACATGAGAGATTCAGCTTTCTGAGAGCGAAACAAGACAACAACAACAGTTCGCGCCACCAATTTGCAGAGGTGTCTCGCTCAATTTTTCAAATGCAGCAGAGAAAAGCTATTAAAAGACGAAAGAAAGGGAAAGGAGTTGTTTGAATAGCAGCATTCCCAGAGAGGTGGGCTGAAAATAGGGTGAGAACACCGGCAACAACCTTCTGTCCACAGTAAACAAGTTGAAGCGTTTTACGCGAGACTACTTCAGTCAAACCCATCTCACACCGCTTTTTCACTCTGACGGACGTCTCAATTTACCGCCTGGCCAATTGGCAAGCTTTAAACGTGTTTTATAACGTTTTATAACTGGCTTCCCTTCGTACCGGTAGTTTCGAGTCTAAGGGATGTCTGTCGACGAGGCAGCTCGACACGGTCTGAGTCCAGTGGTGAGCGCTCGTCGAGTGGCTGGGAGCCAGCTCAGTGATAACTCCTCAGACTGTCCAGAGGCTCCCTGAATCACTTTGTAATGTGCCTGTACTCTAAAGATGCCCTGCAATCTTGTGTAATTTGTACAAGCAATTGTTTGCAATCAATTCCCCACCATCCACATGGCTTCATGCACTTCCAGTGGCACTTTGCCTGCTCGACTTTCACTGACAGCTTGTCTTGTTGGCACTGGCTGAACTAGTGTTTGCTCAGTAGTGTTTACTACTGACTGCAGGTCTTCAAACAATAGAATCACACCGGGACCTTGAAGAAGTGAACCTGTTAAAAGCCTTTTGTGGAAGGTCGTGGCCTCTGTAGATACGGCAGGGGAAATATGCAATGGTAGAATCTCATTCTGGGTAAAACTAAATAAATAAAGACTTAGAGGCCTGTCAATCAGTGAGAAAGAACCAAACACTAACACTGCCAGGAAAGAGGTAGTCTTATTCAATCATCCCATGTTCAAATACCATATCCTTGTGTAGACACACAGTTACACATATGAAGGTAAAAAATGCATTAGTATCTGAAGTAACTTGAACAATGCTGTAAAATTATTGTTCGACATTAGATATCATAAACAGTTTTTTACAGCACTCATTATTGATAAATATACAATAAAATTATTAATATTACATATTATTAATAGTATTATTTAAATGTTATAAAAATTAAATGTATTTGTTATATTTATATATTATTTATATTTAAATTGAAATGTTAAAAAATGTATTTGTATTTGAAATAACATGAACCAAGATTAATAAATGCTGTAAATATTTTGATTACCATTACTATTTAACATTAGATATCATGAACAGTCTTTTTTACGCCATTTATTATTTATAAATTTTAATAAAGTATTTTAAACATGACACAAAAATGTTAAAATATTTAATATAATATTTTATTATTTAAATGTTCTAATATTTAAATAATATAAAATATATGAACATAAATGCAATATTTACATAAAACTTGAAATTGAGATTAACATGAACCAAGATGAATAAAGGTTGTCAAATTATTGTTCATTGCTGGTTAATATTAGATATCAGGAAAAGTTGTTTTCATAGCATTTATTATTACCAAATTAAATATTTTATTATAAAATAAAAATATTATTTAATTTAATACATTATAATATATATTTTTTTATTATATTATTTGTTATTTATATTTATTTTGTGTTCAGCACAAAAGTAAACATGGAAATATACTCAAGTGTATGAACAATATTCACAAAGATGTTCATGTGAAAGGCTCATGATTGGACGAATGAAGAGATTATTCTTCATGTTTATCTAGTTCTATGTACTCAATGCAACTTAATTTAATTACCAAATTAATTTAGTTTATGAAATGGCTTTTATGATGCCTTAGCACAGCAATCACTGAGCTAATTGATGCCTGAAAACCTCCTACTGCAAGTAAAGACGGTGAGTCTCAATCTGCCGTATCAGTCCTGCTGTTCTTCTGCTACGATTGAGCCCTTGAGCAAAGCAAACAACCCCATAAAAGCCTTTCACGAAGACAGACCACAAATACTGAACCACCTCCTGGTGCCATGTTGACAAATACATGTTTTCAAATGGTCTTTGGGTGAAAATTTAGATGCACAAATGAACCATTTTCATTTTCCATTAGCAAACTGGTGTTCAAACGATGTACCTACCGATCATGGGGGACTCTATAAAGCTCCAGGTGTTGGTCTGAGGGACGTAAGACTGTAAAACACCAGCTGAGCGTCCAGCTTCATTCACACCGCCGAACACGTAGATCTTCCCGCCGCACACGGTGGCAGCCGCCGAATGAACGGGCTTGGGCAGCGGAGAGACCGTCTCCCACTGATTCGTGATGGTGTCGTACCTGAAGAGAACAGAAGCGAGACATTTGTTAGCATTGCTGCTGTTCGTGTAGTTCTAACAGCAACAGACATTTCTCACAGTGTGTCCTAATAAAGATGCGGTGCTTTACTGTGAAAAGACCGTATGTAAAAACAACACTATATGCAAGTTAGTAACTGAACCAGCATGATCTCAGCAGGCTTGTGCAATACTCAGAAATGAAGATGGCTCTCTTTTAATCGAGGAGTGTGGATTTGTGAATTGGCCACATCTCGCAGGATGATAAGAAAAGAAATGTGAACTGGATTGCAATTAAAAGAAATTCAAAACACAATGCTTTCTCGGAAATGAAGTCCACAAAAGTTAAAGAGAAATAGAAATTATCTATAGTCTATGTCGATCTCTCTCTCTCTCTCTCTCTCTCTATATATACAGTATATATATATATATACACATATACATACATACACATATATATATATATATGTGTATGTATGTATCTGTGTGTGTGTGTGTGTGTGTATATATATATATACTGTATATATATATACATGTGTATATATAAAAAAAAAGTTAATTTATTAAAATAATGAAATATATAATGTAATATACTGTATAGATGCATTCCAAACATCTCTCATCCCAACATCTCTATCTATCAATATGTTTATAAATATATAAACAACATTTCAAAATGTAATAAATATGATAAAAATTATATAATGAAACAAACAGAAAAAAAGAGTTTAAAAATGTTAAATATATAGAAAATATTGATGGTATTTCAGACATTATCTATCTAGAAATTGTAAATATATATATTAAATATGATGAAATATATAAAAGTGATCTAGACATTTTACATTTTTCCAAAATTTCCAAACAAGGCTGTCAAGCAAACATTAAAATTAATTCGAATTTCCAAATGAGTCTGAATTCGACTTTAATTCCGATTCAAAAGTAATGTTTGCGACCTCAATTCCAATGTAATTCAAATGTAAGACTCCTCGTGAATTCGGTTTGGAATGGAACACAGCCTCAGCTCTCAGTGATGAAGTGTCTCCCAGCCCTTCTGCTGAAAAGTCACGCATGTTCATGTACGAGCCAGCGGAGCCGTGCAACCATACGGCGGATCACGCTTCCTCGCTTCACAGTGTGTCACGTGCTGCCTTCAGAGGCCTGAACACAGCCATCCAGCTGGAGAGCTCATCCTGCGCCATTGTTCTCGGGTTCAGTAATCAGGCCTCCGTCGCTCCTAACTGCTCTCAGTGACGACAGAGAGAAGCTCCACCAGCGAGAACGGCTGCGTCAGCTTGAGGGAACGTCAGAGAACGGTTGAAGTACAGGAAAATGCTTTGGCTCTTGCGGCTATTGATTAACTGTGCAATGAATCAAACATATGAGGACACAGAACACAACTATGAAGGGAACGTAACGGATTACTAACCGCAGATACTTTCTGAATGATGAACAGCTTTGCCAATATTTCAATTCACTGCAGGCAACATTAGTGGAGGTATAAAGATGATGAGAAAAGGAATCTAGCAGGCAGGAAGAGAAGCCTCGGGCTACAAATACATTAGCAACAGCTCGCACAAATCGAGTGAGACGCCGCAGCCATCAAATAATGCAAAAATGCTAAAAGTAATGACAAGTGACTGAGTTTACCTTTGATAAGTTTGACTTTTTAAGCGCACACTTGAACAAGATCGTCGTCTCTGCTGTTTATGACACTAAAAACAACTTTTTGCGATTTATTCCATCAGTCTTATTTATTGTGTGTATTTTACTGTTGTAGTTGCTGAACATTCGTCTGCACCATTGTTTCTTTTACTCCATTACTTTCCTGCAAATTGATGATAAAAATAATAAACCTGACATCAACTTTGACTCCATGAATGTAGTACACTTTTTTTACATTAGTTTTTTTTTTTTTAAAGCTTAAGCTGCACAAATCCATGTTTTCTCATGTTAGAACTATAAGAAACATTTGGAAGAGTTTTATATATCATAATTTTAACTAAGCATGAAAAGTAGCTGGTCTGAAACACATCAAATTTATCTATAAGCCCTAAAAGGGGACTTTGGCCATTAAAAACAATAAGAAATATATATTAGTAATAGTAATATAATATATAGTAAAAGTATTTTTTTTTATATATTAAATAATTAAAAATATTCAATAATAATTTACCAATAACAACATAATAAATAATTATAATTAATACAAATATTTAATTGTGCATTTTGCATGCATCTCATTCAAATTTCTCCATTTTTACTCAAATTATAGTGCTGACATATATCATATTTAGTTTGACTTCATGAGGAAGTCAAACTAAATTTTAGCACCTTATTCCATTAACAATGTGTTGGAAAAAAAAAAGTTTCAGGCCCTATTTAAAAAAACAACTAAAAAAAATGTTTTTGTATCTTATTCATGGAAACTTACACGGGCTGTTCATAAGTTTGGGGTTGGTAATATTTTTTTATGTTTTTGAAAGACTTTTATGCTCACCCAGGCTGCATTTATTTGATAAAAATATAATAAAACAGTGATATTGTGAAATATTATTACAATTTGATTTATTAATTTTCTATTTGAATATATGTTAAAATTAAATTTATTCCTGTGATCAAAGCTGAATTTTCAGCATCATTACTCCAGTCTTCAGTGTCACATGATCCTTCAGAAATCATTCTAATATACTGATTTGCAATAAACTAATGTTTCTTATTATCATCAATGCTGAAAATTCATTCGATTTAATGAATAGAAAGTTCGAAGGAACAGCAGTTATTTGAAATAGAAATCTCTTGTAACTTAATAAATGCACTATTTACTGTCACTTTTGATCAATTTAATGAAGCCTCGCTGAATAAAAGTAATCTTACTGACCCCCAAGTGTTTGAACAGTAACGTATATATTTTAAATATAGTCAAAGTGATTTCAAGTTTCTAAAAACTGACCTTTCTGGGCCAGTACACTACAGAGGTGACTTAGACGGGAATGAAATGAGAGTGAGTCGGAGTGAATAAGGTATGAAGCACATAATAATGGATGTTATCCCGCCGGATGCGCCGGGGCCGATCTGTCCTCTATGATGATCTCATCAGTGCTTATGTAATTATAAGAGCTACTGTACTGTGACCCACATTCACCCGCCTCACAATCCACTCTCTATTTAATCAGATGAGAGCCAGAGGGGAGGGGGAGGAGTCTCTGATTGGCTGCTTTGATAACCTGTGCCTGCAGGGAGCCAATGAGATCAGCCGGAGGAAGACGGTGATGTGCGTGCAGTGATGAGGGCTGTTAGGAAACACGGTTAGAAAATCTCGTGCTCGCTCTGATAAAGCCAGCGAATGGCACTTCTGAGCTCCTGTCTGACCTTATCGTTCCTCCCGTCCTTGACGAAGCGGTTTATCTGCCGTCCCTCTCAGGTATATCCCCAGAACTCGATTGCGGTCAAGGGTCAAGTTCATTTCACTTGCCGTGCCAGCGGCGTAAACACGCTCGGCGAGGACTGGGATCGATACGTGGAGGGCGTCTGTGGCCTCTCATTATTTGAGGGATTTCTACAGCATTAAGCAAATGATCTGTGCTAGATTTAACAGCATCAAAACTCTCCAGTGCTGAACGTTTTCTACACACACCTGCAACTTGCAAATGAAAGTCTTTGTTAATGCACCGAGATGATAGAGTTCATTAGTCTGTTTGCTGTGATTGTTATTAGTAGTGTTAGTAGTAATGGTCGAGTCGTTGCAGCAAGCGCACAGAACACCTGCAGGACTGCATAGCAACACCCTAAGATCGGTGTTATTTTAGTATTATTTGTATACTATTATGATATGAATTACAATTTTGCTTTATTTTAATATTTTTATTTAAGTTTTAGTAATTGTATGTGCTTTTGTCATTTTTATATTTCTATTTAGATTTAATTTAGTTTTAATAACTTGATTTATTAATTTTGTTTTAATAATTTAAGTACTAACTCTTTTGTGTCCAATTTTGTATTTTTTTTTTCTCCTCAGTTTTATTTACTTCAGTTTTAGCAATGTGTTCAGTTTTGTTATGTGCTTTTGTCATTTTTATTAGTATTTTTCCTATGTTTAGCTTTATTTTTATTTCAGTTTTAGTAATTTTTCAGTGCATGTGCAATTTCTTCTTTTTTATTATTATTATTTAGCTTTAATTTATTTTTATTTCAGTTTGAGTTAAAGTAGTTTTAGTACTAACTTAAACTCATTTTACTTCAGTTCTAAACATTTAAATTCTAGTTTTAGTAATTTTGTTATGTGCCATTTTTATTAATCTTTTTTTATATTATTTATTTGTTTTAAAGGGGTCATATGATGCTTTTTTAAAGATCATGATTTTGTGTATTTGGTGTAACAGAATATGTTGACATGCTTTAATGTTCAAAAAACACATTATTTTTCAAATACTGTACATTATTGTAGGTCCTCTATGCCCCGCCTCTCTCAAACGCTTCGTTTTCTACAAAGTCCCTCCTTCCGACAAGCGCAGTCTGCTCTGATTGGCCAGCTGACCCAGTGCATTGTGATTGGCCGAACACCGCAAGCACTCGTCGGAAATGTAACGCCCCTTACCATAATCGCGAGCTTCATCTTTCAAAATAAATGTAAAGACAGTAAATAATGTCATTAGTTTTACCATCAGTTCAAGCCCGAAAGGGGAACAGAGTCGCGTGACAGACACACGTGGCAGAGTCTTAACTTTTATAAAGAATATCTCTTTAGGTTTGAGACTTTAGTCTTTGCAGCTTTAGGGATCTTATCTATTCACGAACAGCTTGTAACACTCCAGAGAGAAAGGAAAACTTGAAATCGCATCATATGACCCCTTTAATCTTTTTTATACTTTTTAAAAATATATATTTACATGTTTAGGTTTAGTAATTATAGTACTAACAAACTCATTTAATTTCAGTTCTAATTTTCATGCAAGTTTTAATTTTAATTTAAATTTTAGTAATTGTATGTGCTTCTGCCTATAT